CTGAAAACATGGTAAAACGTATCTGATAGTGATAATAATATTTACTTGTATGAATTGTCTTTGCCCTTTTTTGTCTGTCTTCACTCTTTCCTCAGGGTCACGAGCCCAATATTCGAAATGATATGTTTTTGTGTCTTAAATCACAGCATTAAACACACACACACATACACACACACACACACACACACACACACACACACACACACACACACAAACGCGCGCGCGCGCCCGCGCGCTGTTTAATAACAAATCGTAGTGTTCGTGTACGTATAATGTTGATCAAGCTACTGGTTTTTTCCCTCAGAGCTGCTTCAGTGCTTGTCACGTTTTTTGAGATCACGTGGATCTTCAACAAATCAGCCTGCTGTGTGTAAGTTGCAGATTTTGTTTGTTTGTTTGTTTGCTTGTTCGTTTGTTTGTCTGTTTTTGTTTGTTAGGTTATTTATTTGTTGTTGCTGTTGTGTTTTTGTTCTCAAATATACAATCCACTCTCTGATAGGATATGGGTTTAACGCCCTCCAACCACTATAAGATTGTGTAACAGGCGGGACAAAAGAAATAGCCGCTCATTTCTGATAGAACCGAACTAAGTGGTTTAATATCCTTGAATACTTCATTATTGGAACCTCATGTTGAAAATATGGTTATATATGAGGATTCACTCAAAGAACTGCCAACGCGATGGTCCAGAATGATAAAAACGTTGTCGGCTTTTCTCTGTTCATTCGTCTAGTTTCAGAAATTATGTGTATGTGTCGTCCTGTTGATCGATAAATCGAATCCATCATATCAACGTCATTAAATATAATCAAGTCAGATATTGATGGCGTTTTATGCAGCTATAACAGTTTAATTTAATCAGAGTGCTTGTTCAGCATTTTATCCGAGCTCCTATTTACTGTTTATTTCAGTGATTGTATTAGAGGAAGGGGAGGGAATGTGTGTGTAATGTGTGTGGGGGTGTGTGTGTGTGTGTGTGTGTGTGTGTGTGTGTGTGGGGGTGTGTGTGTGTGTGTGTGTGTGTGTGTGTGTGTGTACGCTTGCGCCTTTCGCACGCGCCGGTGTGCGGGTGGAGGTCGAGTAATAAACAGATATTGTGTCTGAAATTGAAGTTTCGATTTCTCTAAGTTTTATATGTCAAAATTTTTAGAGTATTTATTTTGGTTCATTTGAAGTCGGTTGGAGGATTAGTTGTGGCCACAGAAGACGAATGAGAGAATGAAAATGGAAAAAAACTAGTTCTGAAGGCTTGTTAAACTGATTTGAAAAATCAAGCAAACAAGCAAACAAACAAATTACGAACAAATAAACAAACGAACGAACAAACAAGCAAACGAACGAACAAACAAACAAATAGACGAATAACAAACAAACGAACGAACGGACAAATAGACAAACAAACACACAAACGAACAAACAGACAAACAGACGAATAAAAAACCAAACAAATAGACTAACAAATGTAAACAAACTGTAGGGAGGAAGAAATAAACGGAAAAAGAAAATGAACAAGTAAGCCGTATATATTCTTACAGTTCTCCAGACAATGCTACAAATTACGAAGTTATTGCGCACTCGGTAAAACAAAATTTCATCGAGACACAAATCTCGATAACACACGGAATCAAAGATGATAGATAGATAGATAGATAGATAGATAGATAGATAGATAGATAGATAGATAGATACCGCCCAACAGCAGGCTCTACGCGTTTGATATTGTTAAATATAGAACGTGTTCTCCTGTCATTGAGCTGAGATTACATCTTTAAGATCTGTATGAGTTCAAAGTAACTGTTGTCAGGTTTAATAATGTTTGATAATTAGCATTATGCTACCTTAAAATTACAAAGTTCTATCTGCTCAGTGCCTAGTTTGGAAAATTTTGATTTTAGACAATTTGAATTTTACCTGTCAAGCTTGCGATTCTTTGAATATCTTGATAACAATTTCAGAATAATCTTACAATTTTGATAGAGCAGATATAATGTTCGATTTCTGACCTATTGTTCTTGGTAACTCAAAACAACCGTAAATGTCTGATAGAACTTTGTAATTCTAACGTAGCGATTAGTTCAGAGCATATCCCGCTCCTCTCAACAGCAAACTGTATGCATTTCCACTATTGTTATCCCAGCAGACCCTTAAAGACTCAGAAACATTCTCCGCTTCCCGCAAAACATACAATACACGCAGCTGGTCATAAAGCGCTCAGATACTAACAAGCTGACAAGATGTTTCGCTGTCTATAGACAGGTACCCATCCCCCACTGGGTGGAGTGACAGAAATGTGTGTAACATGCCTTTGTTGAGGACGCAAAGTTGTGCCTCTGACGAGATTAGAACCCAGCACATTACGGTTGCAAGTCCAGGAGCCAAGCCACTCGGCCACAGAGGCCACAGGTTTTGAACCCATGGTACCGCTGGCCTCGTCTTCAGAGCACACTATTGTTTCCACGGCATCATTTAGCCTTGATTCTGGGGTTCCTGTTTTGTTTACTTCGTTTGTTTTTTTAACCCCTTCACTGCTGAGATGTTTTCGCCAACGTTTGAGCAGACAGGACGACTTGTTCATTCAAAAGAGACTTAAACAAAGCCATTGTGTATTTCCACTTATTTAGGAGTAAACAACTGCACAGTCGTAATTATATCGCCTCATACTTCCGCTGAAAACTTATAGACCAAGTTAAGAGACCCAGTTTTGCAGCTAGTACATGTATAATATTTTATGTCTACACAGCTGTGAAGATGTTAAAAAAAACAACTAATTAGCTTCTAAATCTAAACTTCAAAGATAGCATAAGCAAATGGAATTTTACGAACTAACAGTTTGAATGTTGGGAGAAGGGGGATTAGTGGTGAGAAAGGGGGAGGGGGGGAATGAGGTTGTGAATTCTTAGAGACAGTGTGAGTGACAGCTGTGCTGACTATGCAGCTCTGTGGAATGTCAAGATATCTTACTTGAGCTGCTGTGCACAGCGCTGGTGAGTCGGATGAAGTTGTTGGGCTTTGACGTGCATCATGAGAGAAAAATAATTTTTCGCTATGGTTGCTCTCTCAAAATGTTGGAAGGAGCTCTTTGAAACGTTTTGAAAAGCATTCTAAAGTTCATATTTCTTCGTTAAATTGAACTCGATCTATGAATACTACTGATTTACAAACAGCAGTCAAGACACTTCGATTGCCCCCC